GGAACCTCTTCCTCTCTTCGCCAAGTAGCATTCACAGTCCCAGCAGGACCCCAGGCTGTTACTTGATATAATCAATGGCAAAGCAAAGCTGCATACACACTCTGTTAGTCACAGATGGTAAAACCAGATCTGTTCAGTAGATTATAAAAACTTCACTCAGATTACACACACACACACACACACACAAACACATATGGATTAGGCAACAAAACCACTTTTCAAATACACCGTCATTTCATCCAATTCTTACCCAAAACTTTTACTCAGAAGCTATATCATTTTGGTCACCGTGGTCTCACAGTGGCTAAACTTGCATCCAAACAGATCTACCAATGTTTTTGTTTTTTTAACCCTATAGAAAAGGGAAACCATCTATCGTTCACTTAAACTTAGCTCCATCCTGTGTGACAGGAACATTGTGTGAGGCTTTGCAATTTCTGAAAGATGAAATTAAACATCTTTCTCTTAGAAATGACAAGTTGGATTCATAACAAATAAAACACTCAACCTCACTTCATCTGATATGACCAGCAGCTAATGTTAGCAAACTTTAGTCAGACACTGCTCTGCAACCAACTTTCATTGCTTAGTCAGCTCTTCTGTGCCTGTGCTACTCTTACATTCTGACTTGTTCGGCTAAAGAAACCCCTTTAAAAAGGGAAACTACACCCTCAAATACCCCCCCGAACCTCAGAGTGGGGCAAGAGAATTTGGCTAAACCAAACTATCAAATCCAAACGGACATGTCCAAGTTCACTTTGAGCAGAAAAAAGCAGTTTTTACACACGATATGAGTACTGTTGGAACGATCTCTTGTATTATATTCCAAGAAGAATTTATGTGAATTAACAATTTTAAGTGTGTAAAGCCCCTTAAATGTCCTCCCCACAGTGAAGTATAGCACTACTATATACAGTGTGAGTCTGTGCCATTTGCCCAACACATCAAATTAATTCTTTCTTCAGCTGTTTTTAATGAGGGGTTCTTAAAGTGTCAAACACTCATTCCTCCACGTTCCCCAACATATAGACACCATCTTCTCTCCACCATTCACCTAAAGGATTATCTATCGAATCTATTGGAAAACATCCGCCCTGTGAGATGTGCTGGATGCGATTTTCGCTTCTCATTGTGGTTCTGGAGCGTGATGCGATGGGATCATTTTACTGAATGAATGGTTTCTTTTGGAAATGTCCAGGGCTGGTCTGACATTCATATAAAAGTGGAGAAAATTGACCATGGAACACACATACACACATGTATCTACCCACACTCACACACACGAGTGGCAGAGAATAGCCCGACCTCAGGAGAAAGTGTAACGCTAACCAGGAAATGTTGGCCGATCATGACAGTCTCTGGAAAACAGATTTTCTCACTGGCCGATGAATCTTCTTACATAATTCTCCCACAGAACTATTGTGCATTATAATAAAGCAACGTTTTGAGTGTGTGAGTAACTGTGTTAAACAGCACTGAAACTCTTTGACTGTGTTTCTTATTGACTTTGAGCAGGGGAACAGAGCCTCGTGGTTTTCTGCCAAGTGCAGCCTAATCAGTCTTTAAATTAGCCGGAGCCATCAACATTGGATAATAAAACTACAGTCAAACCTCCGTCATACTCTCTTTCTTTCTTTCTTTCTTTCTTTCTTTCTTCCTCTCTCATATCTCATATACTCCGATAAGTGAGTATAAATACACAAACACAACTGTACCCACAGACACAGCCATGTGTGTATGGTTGCATAAGCACACACTGTCTCACTCTGCTGGATTCGTAGCATGTGGTAGTGTTTAAAGCTCTGCCTTCAAGACAAAACTCAGGCACACTTTACACTCATACAACTCTCTCTCTTTTTTTTTTCTGTGCGTGTGGGTGTGTGTGTGTGTGTGTGTGTGTGTGCTTTCCTACCTCTGTCTTCTCTCTTGGATGCCTTACCCTGAAGTCTTCGCAAAGGTCTCAATTTCTATACATTCCTGTGTAACAGAGAAAGCAGATATCCCAGGAGAGGTCCTGTTTTATAACAAACACTATCCCAGGCCTCAATATTGAAGGCACCCGCTCCCAGTGAAAAGACATATAAACCCAAATACAAGCGTCGTCTGCATGGGAGGCAAATACTTATGCAAACTAACAGACTCAGGAGAAGAAAGTGTTGAAACAGAAAGTCTTAAAACCTTCTTCTCCTTCTTCTGTGTATCAGATGTTCCCTACAACAGAGTTTCCAAAACATTTAACAGGAGGTTTTAAACAGTTTTGTTTTTCTGAAATACCAGTTTACAGCTTTGGTTTTTTTCATGTTCTCATTCTGTTAACATCGTCAAATGTCAGAGTCTGAGTCCAGCACTAACATAAGTACTGTATGTTTACTGTACTTGTGCACCACTACATTTCATGACTCCACTATAATTATTTATTTATAGCTCCTTTTCAGAACATAGGATCCACTTATTTTTTTAAGTGTGACAAAAGCATTGTCTAGTTTGGCTTCTTGCCATGTGTCAGATGTTTGAGCTGTTTGCAGCTCCACCAAACACATTTCCCCTTCAAAATGATCAGTTGGCTTCATTTAAATAAGTTTTTGAGGCAAATGAAGATACAAATTAACCAATATTTCCCCAAGAAAAGTCCAATTCATGAAAAAGTAATGAATATAATTTTTTTACAGATGAGGTTTTTCTGTCCCACTGATCGTCCCAGGACACCACAGATTTTTCTTGTGACCATCCGGAGGAGGCTGAACCACTGGAATAAACTACCAACCTGTTTAAAAAGAAGTTACATTTGGTCCCCCTCAACCAACTGCTACAGTAAATTGCTACATGATAATAATGTCATATATAATAATATTTTAGTCACAGGGGATTTTTTACTTTTCATTACATTTTCCTGACAGTTCACAAAGACTGTAAATAAAGACGTAGGCTTTGTGACATCATCCATATGTTTCTGTTTCTGCCACGCCGTCGCCATCTTGTCAGGGCCTGACTCCGCCTAACTCCCGTCTAATCCAAAAATGGGCAAAGAGGTGGGGCGTGTGTGGAGCCGAGACCATGCATGCAAGGATAAGTGCACCCACCTGTCACTCAAAGCAGCACACCTTCAATTATGTTTAACTTTAAGTCTTAATAAAGCTTATAAAGCTTATAAGATTTATTATAAAGCCATGGAGATTACCACTTGTTAAAATAGTATTTTTTTTTTCTACATTGTTGTGTTAGTACTTTTATTTAAGTAAAAATAACTGAATACTTCTTCCTCTGCTGGTGCCACTGAGTGACATAATGAACACTTGCAAGGCTTAGCTAGCAAAACACATAGCTGACAGGCTAACTGCTAACACACTAGCCAGCTGGGAACATGCTACTTCAATAACTTTCAGTGCAGTAAGTACATACACTTTATTCTGTAGGTGTATTTATACCGTAGACTCACCTGTAGGTCTGAACTGTGTTTCACCTTTGCGACTTGACTTTCTGATGGTGACAGCGGCAGTCAGTCAGGCTCGTAGTTCTCCTCTGCCTTTTGCTCCTCTTGCTGTTGGCATTTAAAGTTTTACTTTATGTGAAAAGTTCAATGGCACAGTCAAAAAATAACAAATCAAACAATTCACCCTCTCTGAATGGTCTCAGTGTGGTACAACTCAACATTTCCACTGTTGCTCTGCTGGCATCTCCCAGGTGTGTCTCATCAGTGGCTAATTAGTCTCACACAGCCAGACCACTCTGAAGCACTGTCAGAGTGACTGCAGAGCAGCCAGAGAGAAGCCTTTCCTCAGTGAAAGATAAATGAAGGCTGCTCAGAGGTTCTCAGATTGTGTGGAACAAGATTCGCTGGTCTGATGAAACCAAGATTGAACCCTTTGTCTTCAATTCTGAGTTTCATTTCCAGAGGAAATGCTCGTAAAGGGAATCCTGCAATCCAAACTTGCCCGGAGGCTCCAGGTATGATGCGTGCACTTAGGCGTGCTCCTAATTGCCGTACAACCAAGGAAACTAATTTATATTATATTTATAAATTAAACTATATTTATTATAAGAATAAAGTATATTCCATCACAACAGCCCTGTAACTACAACACTGAATATATGACATCTATCATCATATCTACACTACAGATAACATAAGATAACATTTGCACGATATCTTGATATAAAAATTCGGCTCCTACACAATACCATCCCAACAGTGAAGCATGGTGGTGACAGAGGAAGGCATGCTGTCCAGATGCACCCAGGACCTCAGACTGGGCTGAAGGTTCACCTTCCAACAGGAAAATGACTCAAAGCACACAGTTAAAACAATGCAGAGGCGGCTTAGGGACAACTCTGTGAATGTCCTTGACTGGTCCAGCCAGAGCCCTGACTTGAACTCAATGGAAGCAAGTCTGGAGAGACCTGAAAATGGCTGCCCACCGATGATCCGAGGATCAGCAGAGAAGAAGTAAAGGTAAAGGGTCTGAGTACTTATGTCATTGTGATATTATAATTTTTCCTTTTCACTAATTTGATAAAATTTCTAAAATTCTGATTTCACTTCGTCATTATGGGATATTGAGTGTAGACTGATTTTAAATGATTTTAGCATGAGGCTGCACAATAACAATAGATGCAAAAAGTGAAGGGGTCTGGAAACTTTCTGACTGCACTGTAAAAAAAACAACTGGAAAAGTCCAATATATTTGACTTAGTGCTTAACCATACGGATGTGCCTGAATAAGCAAAGTATATAGACGCCTCCCTCAAGTCAAAGTTCATCATTCAAGGTAATGAAACCCACATTTAATGGCCATACTGCTATACTGTCTGCAGTGTGATGTGAACGCGGTGTAACACTCATTATAACGCGGTTAGCATCACCACAGTGACAGTGTTGCTCACCATCATGCATTGCACCGCTGGTGTCGAATTTCATTTTTATTACGACACAGACTGAAAGAGTTCAGATGCAGCTGGTGTTTTACTCACTGACACTTCAGCAGAGAGGATGTTTGCTGACACTGTGGCCTGAGTCCAGGTTTCCTGCTTGAGTGACAGTCTTTTTAAGCAGCTGACAGCCTCGTTGCTGATGCCCAGAATGCAAGAAGGACTGCAGGCCTGCGTCTGGTGAAGGCCTCGCTGAATGACTTCGGAATTATTTGAGACTTGGGGTAAGAAACTAGTCTATTTTTCATGCAGGCTCCAGGGCAATGAAAAGCTTTTAGAGCCCCTAGTCCACACCCTTTTTTTTAAATGGACATCCAGTAAAGTTAAATAAGAATCTGTCAGCTGGATGGAGCAGCTAATGGAATCAGATTGATGGTCGAGACAAAGCTCTGCTTGAAGGCAGCAGGGTGGAAAGGCGGAATGGCTGCTCCTTGCCCCCTTTAATCGGACTGATTTACCCCAGAAGCCAAACCCTAAATGGAAACAACTGGTCATTTCACCCAGCGTTAAAAACCCTCAAGCCTCCATTAACACTCAGCTCCAGCATTTTCATCCTCACTTTCTCCTCTGATGTGTTTATGTGTATTAATGAATCTTTGGAAAGTGGGCTTACCTATAAAAAAAAAAAAATGTTTTAGCAATACATTATAATGACACTATTACATCCAGGACATAGCATGTTTCTGTTGTAGAACTGAAGCCATTTCTGTTATATATATTTTAAGTTGTGAGTGGGTTGGGGATTCGGCCTGGGAGACAGGCTGGGAGTAGGAGGCACGATGAGATTGCCTATCACTGAACGCACCAGAAGCCCCCTCCAATTCAAACAAACACTTGGCAGTACACGGCACTGCGGCAATTACGCAAAAAAGAAAAAAAGATTCAATTTAATCTGGTGAATGGGCTGAGTGTGCGAGTGTGTGGCCTAGTCTGAAGGGCTCGTCTGACATGGGACACAGATGGGAAGATGATAGAGAAAAGGGAAACGGGAGAAGATAAAGGATGGACTTTGTGTCTGTGGATGTGTTGAGAGAATACGAATATTTATCCACCCCTTTTTTTTTTTTTTGTAACTGAAAGATGCTCTGTTTGACACAGCAGGAGCCCCAAACTGATATCTGAAGTGGGATTTGTACCAGGACTCACAGTCAACACAAAGTACCGCTGTGTGTCTGCCAGGTTTCTGACTGTGTGTGTAATGTCCAACTTGCAGTATCTGATTTGGACAACATGCAGGAAATTAAGCCCAATTACAGGTCTAAGATTGGCACTATCTAAAGTCCAAAGTAATTCATTCAAATCATGTGTTTAGAGATCGAGCTATATGCAAATCAAATGCATGTGGTCGAGTGACTGTATGTTTGTGCGGATAGAAAATAAAATGGCAGCAGAACGTGTTCACATTGGCCTGACAAAGACCTTTTTACTACAGGAAAATTAATGAGCTACTACAGAGCATATGATTCAAAACAGAATAGAAAAGCTACAGTAAAATCTCCACTGGTGGCTTATAAATGCCGCTATATACGTAAAACAGCTTCAGGTTGAGATATTTAGTTTCCAGGTTCCTGCGTGCCGCGGAGCCGCTGCCAGCGGCGTTAATAATGAATCGGCTCGAGTTTGTTAGTCAACTGGGCACTGAGCTGAGAGGGCTGGCACAGGGGGCTGGAAATGTGACTGAGGAGGTCACAGGTTCAGATCTCAGGTTAATGAGGAACTTGTATGATGGAGAACACACACACACACACACACACACACAGTTATTCAGCCAGCAGAAGGTGTTTCTTTGCCAGTGTGTGTGTATGTGTGTGTGTGTGTTTTTAAGTTTACAAATGACACACTGGCAAGTTTTCTTGTGGGCCTTCAGGCAAAGGGTGAATTTAACTTTTCCTCCTTTAAAACCAAATCATTTTTAGAACAATTTGACCCAGCAAACAAAAACAACTTATACAGCTAAGATTGATTTTAAATTATATTATACCATCACAAACTACAGACACACATTACAATATGTTCCAGTGCTGATCCATTTTTCTCCACCAGAATGCACCAGAGAAATGAATCCCCTACAGTCATCATAATCACTTTAAAGTCTCCAATTTATGTTTGAAAGTGTAGCCTAATGGCTGTAAAATGATACTGTTACTGAGAAAAATTGTTTTATTATAAGTGTTGATGCATGAGTTCACACCACACTCCTATGATTTCTGCTAAATAGGCAGAAACAACTCACAAAGTCAGCAAAACAGCAAGAGGGCTGCTCTTTCCTTTCTTTCATATGTTTCATAGGCTTACCAATACAGTATAACTCATAGGACAAATATGCACCTACACTATATGTAACACACATGTATATACAGTCGTATGTGTGTACAGTCAATTAGTCAGTTATTTGTGAATGGGAAGTTATTGTTATTTAGTTGCACTATTAATGTCACTCTCTCATGTTATTGTCATTCTCATTATAATATTACAGGTTATTGTTTTGCACCATTGTTGATGTTTTTTTTCATGTCATTATAATTGTTTTGTTTGTTTTTTTAATTTCTTAATATGTACAGGTTGTCCTGCCCTGGTTGTGTATATCTGGTGTGTTTTATGTGCCTTTTCAATTGAATTGAATTGAAAGGTGGGTAATAATAATAATGATAATAATAATAATACATTTTATTTGTGTTGCACTATTCATATACAAAATGCAGCTTAAGGTGCTTGACATTAAAAATAAAACACAGTTCATTCATTAGGCATACCACTTATCCTTTTAGGGTCACGGGAAGCTAACACTGGGTGAGGCCGCGGTACACACTGGACAAGTGGCCAGTCAGGACTGACATATAGAGTCAAACCACCATTCACGCTCACATACACACCTACGGACAATTTAGAGTCACCAATTAACGTAAACCTAGATGTCTTTGGAGTGTGGGAAGAAGTCGGACGACCGAGAGGAAACCCTCACAGGCAGGAGGAGAACATGCAGCAGAGAGGCCCCAGCCGGCCGGCAGGTTCGAAAACCACAACCTTCTTGCTGTGAGGCGACTGTTCCACCACGCTGGCCCCAGAAAACTGTTCCAACTAAAATATCTATATATAACAGCAATATCACCAGTTACCATTACCATAGCCATCATCACTGTTACATATAGCCCCTGTCACCATCATCATTTTGATAATTGAAAGATTATTAAGTGCTGTACCTCAGAGTCCTGGGTTGGATAAGAATCCAACAATCTGAGGTGAAGATTATTCTAAATCTTGTTGGCTTTCCGGCAGGTTTGGCAAACTGACTCAGTGGATGATAAAAAACGAGTTATTTGGTCGTGTCTTCTCAATCCTAGAATACATGGAGATTTGGGTTTAATACAGGATCATACCCATGTGTCAAAGTTGTTTTTTATATCTCAATCTGATGCCTTCCAGTGTTATCCTACTGTACTCTTTCTGAACCAAATCAAAACTCTGGGTTCACAAAGTCCTTTTCTCCCAAAGATAATCTTTATCTATTAGTTTTACTACAGAGCAGCTATTATCTGAGGTCCAAGGAGCTTTGGGAAATCATGGGCCCCAAGTCGGTAACTTTCCAAGCCGGGCTCAGTGCTTGTACTGCAGTGCAAGGAATGCAGTGGTTGTTTTAACATTACAATGGCTTGGCAGGACTCTCTGTGGTCAACCACTTGGTACCAGACACCCTCAGACATGCCCCGCAGGGTGCCTCCAACAACACGCCTCAGGGAGTGGGGGCAATCAGGAATATAGGTTCTATGGAGAGTACATCTAAGGACGTCACAGAACTTGTTACTTGAGAAGAAAACATCTCAGTGATACCATAGAATTTATTTATTTAGTGCTCACCTCTTCTACAAAAGCATTTCCTCTTAGAAATATAGTAATAGTTTGTATAAACACAATGGAGCTATAATGGTGGACTGGTGGTTTGATCAGATTTCGTGTTCGGCATGATGACGTTGAACGGTCCCCTACAACCTCTGTAGTTGCATTTAGCCACTTGCTACCGACCAGCCTTTTTAAAGACAAACAAAAGCTTAAGAAAAAATCAAGACTGGTGTATTTACCGACGCACTTTACGTCGTAGAATAAAACACTTGAGCTTGTGTTAACCACAGACCTTATTTCAGGCATCTAACCAAAAAACACATCGACTTCTGGACAAGGGAAGTGGATGTGCTAAAATATAGGACTCGTTCCTGTGGCACTTTTTTCTTTAATCAAGTCAAGCTCTTAACCTCCAATATTTATGACATCTACCAGTTCAATCGGTTAGAATAGCACTGTACTAATCAAAATAATTGCTGAGATCTGGGAATGCAGCAACAATACTAAAAATAGGTCCAGTAGGGAACAAATACATGTGGTCAGACAATCACACAGGCAGCAACAATCCTGAAGTTGGTCAGATATATTTCATAGAGATTACATTATCTAAACTGCACATTTAAAAAAAAAAAAGGCAACGTTTTCTCAAATGACAAGTTGAAACAACTCAGTGAATGTTCATAATTAGATACAAGCCATGTGTGTGCTGATGGGAGCAAAGATATCTTAAACAATTTCTCCCCCTGATTTAGCAAAAGTATAAACACTGATACAGCAGAATCAGATTTAATATCTTTGTAATTCCCTGCATCCAAACCTGGCACCTACATACAGGTTCAGGTGTGTTATGCAGGTAGCAGTTTACTGTAGCCTCGAGCAGAGATGAGGCAGAGGCACAGAGGTCTGGTAAGTTCACCTCTTTCTAACTTTCTAGCACTCCCCAAAACCTCGGAATAGACTTTGATGTTTGAAATCAGTGGTGTTCCCCTTTTCGTTTGTTACAGTATGTGAGGAAATTTCCAGACTTTCAGATCAAACCTTGGAACAGGTGGTTTCAGATGCTGTTCGATCGTCCCACAAGTGCTTCGGTTGAAGCATTCTGACAACTTCGTTATAGGTGTGAATGAAATGCGTCATTGACATGGTGTAGAAGTAGAAATGTTCTGATTTCAATTTTTGTCCGTATTGATACAGATTCTGATACCTGAACTTTTATATCGGCCAATATCTGAGTACCGCCCGGATACCAATGAGTTGGAAAAGCCCCGTATGGATTTGACGTGACTGCTGTCATTGTAGGACTCAGGTCAAATCCTTTGTAAAACATGAACAAATACTTGAATGTCATAGAATCTTTAAACTGCTTATATGGATCAAAAAGCTTGGGAGAAAATCGTCCCTATACAAATGCAAAAGTCCGCTTACAATATTCATTTTCAGTTCTTTCATACATGACAACATATGGAAAAAGAATTTAAAATTGAAAACTGTCATAATGCTGAGGCTCTCCGACTTATTTCTCCAACTGTCTCTCGTCTCATTATGTGACTAGTGACATGTACCAGTTAAAACAGAAACACTCAAAATGTAATGATTGTCAATAAAAGGTCTAGGTCTGGATAGGACAGCATCTGGGTATGGACCTGGACTATTAGTGAGTTTACTGGAAGTCAATTCTTCTTCGCCGCTCTATAACAGCAGTTACCAGTGGTTCAGTGAAGCTTCCTGTGTACACTTCTGTTTTAGAACGATGAAGAATTGATTTCAGTTTATCAGCAGGTTATATGGAATCGGATCGGTGCAAAGACTTGCGCACACACCAATTCCTGATCCAGTGCTTTAGGCAGCATCGGAGGCATTTCTGATGGTCAGTTTACAGATTGTTATCACCACCAAGGGAGGCAGAAACTGTCTTTCACATTTCATATTTTATTCCTGTGACTCTCTGTGATATTTATTGACCTTCCTCAGTCTGAAGATACATGGTATTCCCCATGCTTTGCAGTCTGCAGGACATTCTGCAGATGCCATTAATGCTCAAAGCATTTCCAAACCAAAGAAAAAAAAATCTCATGATGAGAGAGATGCAGCAAAACTCAAAGAATAGAAAAGAACAGTAGCCACTCTTATGAAAGTCTTTCCTCAGTAGTTTTATGAAAGCTCCTGTTTATGAGCACTCACACTGAAGATGTTTTTTTTTTTCCCTCTGCTGTTTCTTTTGTTTGTTTAGCCTCCATCACATCTCCTCCCTCCTCCTCCGGCCATTCCTCCCCAGCCACAATACAAGCCTTTCTACCCTCAAGAGGAGTCAAAGATGTTCAGATTCCAGGACAAATGATATGGTGCTTGTGAAGAAAAACACAACCTCACTTAAACTGAGAGAAATTACTCTCTCTCTCTCTCTCTCTCTCTGATTTTCTCTCTGGCCTGATGTTGTGTTCATGGTTACAAAATACAGAGCTGATGAATGATTGATGAAACCCTGACTAGTGAAACATAAAATCTCATTCGCGCCTGCACAGCATGAACAAACAAAGTCAAACAAAAGGAAAGTAACCAACGGACCGCATTTCGAAACACTGCAATTAATGCCAGAGAGCATTCTGGGTAAGCCATGTCTAGACAAACACTGTTGACATGACGTACTGGCAGCAGATTGGAGCTTCAGTTATATAAGCAGGAGGCATAAATAATCTCATTTGATGAGAGAAAACAACAAAGGACGGAACCAGGATTTCACAACATGAATTAACAAATTACCTTTCATTAGTCGGACTAAGTTAAGATTAGAGAAGTCGAAGGCTTGGATTGTCTCTATGGATAAAAGACACAGAACCTGGTCTCTGGTCTTTCAGCCAGATATTATATGCACCCATCCATTCACATTGACCCTCCTCCTTACACCATTTCCAAACCAAATGCAAAAGAATAGACACAGCTTGCAGAGCATAAGTATGAGGAACTATCACAGTATTTATGTTGTAACCTGGCGTCACTATTCTTTCCAGCCTGATCTGATGACTCTACAAATTCAGCAACGCACAAAAATCTGCCGTTTTTAGGGCAAGTTTTGCCTTTCAGACACAGTAGAGAAAAACAGGAAAACTGGGGAGACAAAGGGAGAGAAAGGCAATGACATGCACAAATGTCCAGAGCCAGGCTCGAATCAGGGATGTTGCAATCACACAGTCACTATCCTAAACCTGTAGGCCACCAGGACACCCCAAAATTCTCTACATTGACACTGGCATAGTCCTTATTGTCTGCCTCTCCCTCTAATACCATAATGCCTTGGAGATCAGTGAATTTAGTTGAACTTAAGCCGCAAAACCTGGTGGAAAATAAGGGCTGTGCTTGTAGCTGTGGTTTGTACAGCAGGCCAAGAGAGTGTCACCACTACTTTCTTAATAACGGCCTTACGCTGAGTAATGTCACACTTTACCATTTGGTGTGAAAGCAAGGTAAGACTCGCTGCCAAACAATGTTAACCTGTCTTCTACAAATCATACTGCTAATTTGATTTGCCAGTTACACTTAATGGGAAACCTGGATCATGCTTGGATTATGTCTAGTGGCAATATTTTTTCAAACGAATTAAATACGGCTGTTTTGTGCTGCACACAAGTTGTCCTGAGTCCTCCAGGAGGTTAGGTTAAAGCACCAAAAACACATAGATCACGGAGAGATTGTGGCTTTGGTTAAGTGTCTAAAAAGTGAATTTGTCACGTGTTTTAAGCCGCTGTTCAATTCTTTTCAACATCTGACCAAGACCAAAACCTTTCCCCAACCTACCAAGTACCTAAGCACAAAGGTGCAACGTCAGGAGAGGCAAACCAGGCAAATGCTTGGGGTCCCCAATTGCAAAGGGGGCCCGCGATGGCCCCTCACATAGTATATTTATCTATAAACCCCCACAAAGACACTATACAGTACACTGCTGTTGCCGTGGGGGGCCCTGATAATGTGTGCTATAGCATCTACCCATTTCCTGCATGTGAGGCGTTTAGGGAACATCTGAAAATTGTACACTCTGGCAATAGTCTTGCATTTGGGGGGGTGGGGGGGGGGGGTTTGTTAATAGGTCTCGATGGGCTTT